ATGAGGTCATGTCTGTGAAGTCACATGAATAAAAGAGACAGTAGAGAGACCCTTCATAGACCCAATGAGAAAGCCACTGTCTGTGAATCAGAAAGCAGGCTTCATTTGATGTCCTGAGACATTTGTACAATCTTGGCATTAACCTGGGGGAAGTCATCTGGGTCTGGGTTATTTAAAAGGTGGTAATCATGGATCTAGCTTTAAAGCATTTACATGATCATTTAGGTTTGCTTTCCCATTTTTTCTTAGCACCAATTAGGCAAATTGAACTTTCCTAGGCAGTTTTAAATGATTAGGATGTTCATAATATTCTCTTGTCATTTTAGTATCTGCGGTGACATCTCTTTATCTTTCTCGGTACTAGTAGTTTGTTCGTTTCTTTTTTTTTTTAAACCATATGTGCATTCATTTTATTAGTTTCTCAAAGAATGAGAAATTTTGTCTTTGTTGATCTTTTCTATTGCATATGCTTCCAAGTCTTTTATTTTCTAGTCTTCAAAAAATTATTCTCTGTATCTTTGAGGGAAGGTCATCTTTTATTTTCTCAAGATAGATTCTTAGCTTGTGAAAGTCCGTCTTTTCACCTTATTTTATCTTTCACATTTTTCCAAATTTTCTTATTTTGTAGTGTTTAAAATTATTATGTGTGTGCATGATATGTATATGTGTATACATGTACTCATGTGTGTGCCACAGTGCACATACATGTGGAGGTCAGAGGACAACTCTGTGGAACTGGTTCTCTCCTTCCCCCTTTACATGGGTTCTGGAGTTTGAACTCAGGTGGACAGGCTTACACGGCAAGCACCTTTTCCCACTGAGCCATCTTGCAGGTCCTTATTTTGTAGTATTTTATTCCATTTTGTGCATAAAATGTTGTACTCTGTATTCTGATTTCTATCTTATTCCTGATAAATAGACTTTAATTACAAATATAATTGAGGTTTCTTTTTCGGTCTTTTTGAGACAGGGTCTCTCTGTAGCTCCAGCTGCCTGGAACTCACTCTGTAGACCAGGCTGGCCTCAAACTCACAGAGGATCCACCTGCCTCTGCCTCTCGAGTGCTGGGATTAAAGGTGGGAGCCACCATAACCGTCTATAATTGAGTTTTTAAGGAGTGTGGAAGTGTGTTTTGAGACAGGATCTATGTAGCCTAGGCTAGCCTTGAACTCATGATGCTCCGGCCTCTACTTCCCCAGTTTTGGAATTGCAGATGTATGTCAGCACCCCTGACAGAGATCGTGTTTTTGCAATTTATGTCAGAGAACGCCAACAAATCATTATCAGTCTTTTGAAATCCCATATTTCTTTCATAGCATAGTGTTTCGTGTGCACGTAAAGAACATGCATTTGATAGCTTATTCATCTTTCCTCTTGTCTTCTTTCTGTCTGATGAGTGGTTTTCGAATTTGTCCTAAGTAATACATTCATAGCAGACACTCAGTTTTCATGTGAAAATATACCTACTACTCCACTTTGACTCTTAAGAGTGGCAATGTGTGCTGAGGATAATTATGCTCTCCATCACTCTGGGCTGCCCTGCCAGTCTGTGGAATCCTTTGTCTTCTCACCTTGTCTTCCTGTGAATCTGTGGAGAAGGCAGCCCATTTTTAATTTTTAAAAAAAAATATTTTATTACTTAAAAAAATTTTTTAAGTGTATGGGTGCTATGCCTGCATATAGGTAAGCACACCTGTGTCATGCAATGCCCGCAGAGGACAGAAGAGACTGTTGGATACCCTGGAACTGGAGTTTCGGACAGTTGTTAGCAGCCATGTGGGCGCTGGGATTTGAACCTGGTCTTCTGCAAGAACAGTCAGTGTTCTTAACCACTGAACCATCCCTCCATCTCCTCGTTTTAAATTTTTTATTTTATGTGTATGAGTGTATTGCCCACATTTACTAGGTGTTTTTTTTTTTTTTTTTTTTTTTTTTTACTTTAAGGTGTCTAGGCCAAGATTCCTCTCCATTTGTGACTCTTAGCTTCTCATTTTACCCTCTACAACTCCAATCTTCTCATTTTCTTTTTCTTTTTTACATACTGCACCCGCCAACTCTGGATAAGTTTCCCTTGGTCTGTCTTGCAGTACATTAATTTTCACTTTGTTTTAAATTAGTTGTTAATTGTAACTGTGAAACTACATTGTTATACATTTTTTTAAATATCTAAAACTTCTACTATTTTTTTTATTATACTGGTGATTTTGCTTTTTAAAACTCAGTGTGCTTAGGGGGCTAGAGAGATGGCTCAGCATTGGTTGGTCTTGCAGAGGACCCGTGTTCAAGTCCTAGCACCCACGTGGTGGCTAACAACTGTCTATAACTCCAGTTCCAGGGGATCCGATGCCTTGCTCCAACCTCCTCAGACATTGCACAACATGGATGCTCTTACATACATGCAGGCAATACACATAAAATAAAAAAAAACACGTAAAATAAAAATAATAATTAAAATAAGTGGCCTTTGTTTTATAATGGCTTTAGATATAGAAAAATTTAGCCAGTAGAGCAGAGTTCCTCTCCGCCTTCTCCCAGCTTTCCCTTTCCTTGACAGCTTGCATCACCGTGGTACCTTCACTACATTGAATGAACCAATGGCAGCACATTATTATGATTATCTAACATCCCATAGCTTTCCATAAGGCTCACCCTGTGTGTTGCACAGGTCTCTGGGCTTTGCTGTGTATCCACAGAATGGTTCTGCAGTTCCAACACTCCTGTTTGCCAATCCTGTCTGCTCCTTTGCCTGCCCCCACCTCACCCTCTGGTGGTTTAAATGAGAAATGCCCCCCATATGCTTATGTGTTTGAACACTTGATCCCCAGTCAGTAGGGTATTGGGAGGTTTGGTGACGTTTGGGAAGTGTGGCCTTGCTGTAGGAAGTATGTCACTGGGAGCAGGCTTTGAGAGTTCAGATAGCCTCACCCCATGTCCAGTTCAATCTCTGCTTTGTGTTTGCAGTTGAAGATGTGAGCTATCTGCTTCCTGCCATCTGATGCCTTGTCTTCCCCCATTATCAACTCTCCCTCAGGAACCAGAAGTCGAAATAAACTTTTTATACCCTAAGCTGCTTTTGTCACGGTATTTTACCAAAGCAACAAAAAGTAACTAATACCCCTGAAGCACTTAATTCTGCCATTTTTTAAATTTTTTGAGACACGGTCTCACTATACATCTCTAACTGGCCTGGAACTAGTTATGTAGACCAGGCTAGCCTCAAACTCACAAAGATCTTCCTGCCTTTGCCTCCTGAGTGCAGAGATTAAAGGTATATGCCACCATGCCTGGTATACTGCTTTTTAAAAATCTCAAGTTCCTGGGGCTGGAGAGATGGCTCAGCAGTTAAGAGTACAACTGCAGAAGACCCAGGTTCTAATCCCAGCACCCACATGGTAGCAAACAACCACTTGTAACTCCAGTTCCAGGGGATCCAATACCCTCTTCTGACCTTTGTGGGCATTGCACGACATAGGTGCACTTACATACATGCAGACAGTACATTCATACCCAAAAAATAAAAATAATAAAGAATTTTTTAAAATTTCAAGTTCCCTATCAAAATTCCAAGATTTTATGTTTGTTATATTGTGAGTTCAGTCATTTTTAAACCACTGTTGGAGTCCTTGCTGTGACTGTGTTTCCTGATATTTCTCATCAGCGTTGTCTAATACATGGATGGCATTTTTTTATTTGTTCATTTCAAACCATTTTTCCAATTTTTATATTGTAGTAAAATTGACCTAACAGAAATTTATTATCTTAACCACCTTCAAGAGTGTATAGTTCAGGGGCTGGAGAGACAGCTCAGTGGTTAAGAACACTGACTGTTCTTGCAGAAGACCCGAGTTCAAATCCTAGCACCCACATGCCAACTAACAACTGTCCATAACTTCAATTCTAGGGGATCCAACAGTCTCTTCTGTCCTTTGTGGGCATTGCACAATACAGGTACACTTACCTACATGCAGGCAATACACACATACACACAAAATAAAAATAATAATAAAAAAGTGTACAGTTCAGAAGTAATAAGTGCATCTAAATCACTGTGTAAACACTACTGCCATCCATTCCCAGAACTCCACATCTTACACAACAAAAGAATACCTATTAAACAGCAGTTCTCCACTCTCTCTCCTCCCCTCCTCCCCAACACCCATCACTCTTTCTGGGTCTATGAGTTTGATATCTAGATGCCTCACAGAGGTGGAATCACAGTGTTTGTTTTTGTGTGACTGGTGTATTCCAGTCAGTGTAATGTCCCCAGGAATCTATTCTACATCTGTGCTATTGCCTGTTTACTCCCAGTCAATGGGCATGTGAGATGCTTCCATGTCTTAGTTATTGCGAATAATGCTGATTTGGATATGGGTAGAAATATCTCCCTAGTCCCTGCTTAGAGTTCTCTTGGGTATACGCAGAAGAAGAGTTGCTGGGTCACAGAGAATTTGATCGTTAACTTTATGGGACGCCCCAGTGCTGTTTTCCCACAATGGCTGGACCATTTGTGTTCTCAATGGTGTGCCATCTATCTGCCTCCTCACTAGTATTTATGATTTTTTAAAAGTTTATTTTATTTGGATATGTGAATACCTACGTGTATGTGTGTGCACCATGTGTGTATCTGGTACCCCAGGAGATCAGAAGGAGGTGTTGGATCCTTTGGTATTGGAATTATAAGTGGTTTTAAGCAATCATGTGGGTGCTGAGAACCGAACTCGGGTCCTCTGTGAGAGCAGCAAATGCTCTTATCCATTGAACTGTCTTGTCTCTTCAGCCCGTTTTATGATTTTTAAAAAGTAGTAACATCCTAATAGGTATGGGACTGTGCCTCATTATTTTTCTTGAGAAGTTATTTTTAGAATAATGTGACATTTAGAATCACGGTGTGCTCCTCTGTGAGGGGTTTTCCTTGGTTTCTGTCTTGTGCTTGGTTGCACTCACAATAGTACATCACATTAACCTGTCTTCAAGTTCCTTTAAAAATTTTTTTTAATTTAAAGGGGAAAGTGTGAACGCAGTCCCCTACTACCACAAATTATGTAGTCAAGTTTCACATATTTGGGGAACTCACAGGAGTCAGCACATCGCAAAAGCCATGGGGGAGCCTGGCCCTGTGAAACCACCTCCTTGATCACAGTTTTTCCTGTCACATAAATTTGCAAGGTTATTTTTAATCACCAAAAGGACTTGAAATCTGCTTGTAATCCATGCCAGAGCTGATTTCCTTTTGATTTCACCTTCTTTCTATGAATAGACCTTTGAGGTCCCTGCCCGAGGCAGGGAATTGATTTAACAGAATACCCAAGCTTAGCTGACTCTGACTTTTGACCCCATTTTCATGAGGTTCTCAGAAGTGTGGCTCAGCCACTGGATCCCTTACCACAAGTCAACAAATATCGTTGTATGAAAGTGACTCCAAATGTCAGAGTCACTGCTATGTCTGAATGACATCCCTCCAAAAGTCAGGTGTTCCAGAGCGACGTCATTAAGAGGTAGGGTCTTTAAGAGGTGTTAAGGCCATGACCCCTCAGATAGCATTTAATTACCAGTCCTTGCCCTTCTGCGGTCTGCCACGTGAATACCCAGTGCCGCTTCCCTCCAAGATGCAGCAACATCTTAGAGATAGAAAGCAACCCCCAGGGACAACTCAACCTGCCAGTGCTTTAACTTTGGACTTCTAAAAACTGTGAGAAAATAAACTTCTGTTCTTTGTAAATTAGGTGGTCTCAGGTATTTTGCCATAGCCCCACAAAATGAACTGTTACCCATGACTCTGCCTCTGGTGCTAGCAATACTTGACTGTTATATTAGTTCTGGAATGTTCTTCAGTTCTCTTTAAACTTTTTTTGTTCATATATCTTTTCACATTTTTATAGTCAGATTGACCTGGTCACTTAGTTGTTACCAGTTATCTAGTTCGCTTGTCTTGACTCAACAGATATTAGAAAGATCAAGAACTGTATAATATTTATTTTTATATCCTCAGAACTTAGGAATGTGTCTAACATTTTTTGGGAGCTCCATAAATGTTAGTTCATGAATCAGTGCATTCCTAGAGTGGGTAAATTCCTCCTGATATGGAGGAAAAATATCAGAACACTTACAAAATCAAGCTTGTAGAATGAGTAAAAGTGAATTTTAGGGACATGGTCAGGGTCAGATGGGAAAATAACTGCAAAATTTGCCCACACAGGAGAAAACAGACAAAAACAAACAATGGGCAAACAGACAGGAAGAAGGCAGAGGCTATGAGACAAGAAGGTGGGCTGATATTGATTGTCCTGCAAACAGCAATGAACAGGTGTTTTAATTAGTTAATTAATTATTATTAGTGTGTGTTTGTGTGCATGATATGTGCATGTGTGGAGGTCAGAGGACAACTTTGTGGAGTTGGTTCCCTCCTTCCACCATCACTTGGGGTCCAGGGATTCAACTCAGGTCTCCAGGTTTTGCCTGTGCCTTTACCCACTGAGCTATCTTGCTGGCCTTAATGAATAGGTTTTTCTTTCTTTTACAGGCTGGAGAGATGGCTCAGTGATTAAGAGCACTGGTTGTTTTTCCAGAGGACTCTGGTTTGGTTCCTAGCATCCACATGGCAGCTAACACCCTTCAGAAACTTCCGTTCCAGGGAATCTGATGCCCTCTTCTGGCCTCTGTGGGCATTGCACAACCTGAGTGCACTTACATCCATGCAAGCAAAAACAATGAACTATATACATAATTTTTTTAAAGTTTAAAAGTTCTATGCAATTCTTATTAGTATACTATTTATGAGAACAGTTAAGAAAAATGCTCCTTGGGGGCTGGAGAGATGGCTCATCAGTTAAGAGCACTGGCTGCTCTTGCAGAGAACCTGGGTTCAATTCCCAGCACCTACATAGAGACTAACAACCATCCACAACTCCAGGGGATCCAACACCCTCTTCTAACCTCTGTGGGCATTGCACAACATGGGTGCACCCTACCTACATGTAAGGAATACACTCATACACATAAAATAAAAATAAAAATAAAATATTTTTTAAAAAGAAAAATGCTCCTTTATTCCAGACCACACAGCATTTCTTCAATGACCCCTGCTAGATGTTGGGTGCTGGTGTGACCTAACAGAGCATGACCTTCAGGACCAGTGAGAACAGGGTGGCCACTAGGTGGCTGGAAGGAGTTTTTAACTGTGTGTTTCATGGCCTTGGCTCAGCAGTGACAGAGCAGGCTGCATCTGTCCCAGACAACATGGCTCACACCTTCCGAGTGCAGGTGTTTAAAAATATTTACTACTCATTTCTTCTTGGAAATTAAGGAACATGAGTATGGCCATCTCTCTGCTTCTGTCCCAGGGACGGTTCACTTGGGATCGCAAGCTGTCCAACAAATTCTTCTTTCCTGCACCCCTCTCCAACACAGCCTGAACTCAGCCTCTGAATCAGGGCCCACTAATTAATTAATTATCTTAATTATTAATTTAATTTTAAAGTGTGTAATTAAATAGCTATTGATTACCTAACTATTCCAATCACCCTTAGACCACTTTCTGCACTGGTCTAAGAGCTTCCCAAGTTGGCTCCTAGTGCTTCCAAGAAGCTAATCTGTGTTTGTTTCCCATCCAAGTACTAACCAGGCCTGACCCTGCTTAGCTTCTGAGATCAGACTAGATCAGGTGCCTTCAGGGTAGTTTGGCCATAGACTTTTCTGTGTTTTTCTAACTGAAAGTTATCTCATATGTTTCTAAACAAAAATGACTACCTTCCATCTTCCTGTGGAGATGGGACCTGTTCTCTGTATTTGGTAAATGGAAGAAATGTAATCCACCTTAGTGCTTATTAATATAAATAGGGAGGCCTTATTGGGAATAAAGTGTCAGGTTCTGACTGGTGCAACGAAGATTTCCAGATGAGTTGCAGAGGGCTGGCATTAGATTTTATGCCCGCTAGCTTCACAATGCTGACCCAGAGTCCTCAGTGCCCCCGCCATCCAGCAGCTCCATTGACTGACACCCAGCCTCTTTCCACACACTTCCCCAGCCTGGCCTGGCCGCACTTTCCCTAGGATGTCCCCTGCCACTTCCTGGCTGGGCCTCACTGAATCTGAAAGATTGCCAGAGCTGGCCTGGTGGATGCTGCAACCTCTCAGCAGCCTTTGATCTGGGATAACACCAAGAAGGAAGAACTGTCTGCAAGAATTGGAGAGGACTGACCAGGGAGCACACTAGCCTAAGTCCCAATGGGACACCGAGAACAGAGGAAAAAGAGGCTGAGAACACTGACTGCTATGCCAGTCAGCCAAAGAATTAACAATGGAGCACGGAAATTAGTACTCAGATGGTGTAAGTGTCAAACAGGAGGGAACCGGGGAAATCATTTTATTGGGCTGTTTTTTTTTAAATTTAATTTTGTTTATCTTTTTCTTTCTTTTCTTTCTTTCTCTTTTGTTTTTTTAAATCAAGAAATGCTAGAGCCTCCAGGCTGGCCATAAAATCTAGATTCTCATGCCTCAGTTGCCAAGTGTGTGGAATATAGACATGTATTGCCATGCCCTGCTAGTTTATGTGTGTGTGTGTGTGTGTGTGTGTGTGTGTGTGTATGTGTGTGTATTTAAACGTGCTAAGTATAATGTTCAAAAGGTCAAAAACAGGGCTTTCATACAAATATAAAAGATTTGTTTAACACATTACTGAGAGATTCAGCAGCTCAAAGTTGTTTCAAAAAAGAAGTTGAGAATTTATTTAGAGGCTGGGAATATTTTATTTCAGTGGTAGAGCACTTTCTCAGCATATTTGGGGCCCTGGGTTCTATCCCAGCACTGCAACATAACAAAACATTTGGTCAGTCAGGAAAGTCATGCAGAGATGACTTAGTTAAGAATATTAGTTTTCTATAGAAGCCGTAACAAAATTCCACACACCAGATGACTTAAAGAGAAATGCATTTTCTCACAGTTCTGAAAGCCGGAAGTCCAGCATCTATGTGTTGGTAGGGTAAATTCCTTCTCAGGTGTCTTTCCTTGGTGGTCTTCTCCCTCAGTCCATATATGATCCTCCCACTGTATGTGTCTGTGTTCTGATCTCTTAATGAGGACAACAGTCATGTTTGGTTAGGACCTACCTTCATGACTTCATTTTAGCTTAATTAGCCCTGAAAGGTCCCAACTCCAAGTGCATTCCATGGAACTGGCAATGAAGACTTCAATTTACTTTTGTTGGGGTACAAACCACAATTCTCTAACACTAAGTGGTGAATGAAACTGGCTAATGTCCTAGCAAAGCAAGAAAACCATTACCTTTGACATAACATTTAAAATGTTTTATTTTAGTTATGTATAGAGGTGTGTGTCTGTGTGGTGCATATGAGTGCAGTGCCTTTGTAGGCCAGAAGAGGGCATTGGACCTCCTGGAGCTGGAGTTATAGGAAGTTTCGAGCTGCCTGATGTGGGCTAGGGACTGAACTCCAGAAGACAGCAACTGCTCTTAATCACTGAGTCATTTCTTCAGTCCTAACATAACATTTTTAGAAAGCAGATTGGAATCATTGCAAACCTACTGGGAAAAAGTCTAAAAGAATCTGGGCCATCATCAGTTTTCATTAGTAACTCCAACCATGTCCCCTGGAAAAATAGCCTGAGCCTGTTTAACAATGTTCCAGAATGACTTTGGAGGGAAATACAATTGTTTTTTTATCTTATTACCTACATTTGCTTCACTTTTCTGCATGCATAATGAATGACAATTCGAGAGGCTGAGAAAGTAAGCAATACACTATGCACTAAGTGTCATCAGCCTTGACTTTCACTCAGTGAAAGTATTTTTCCAAGATTAGATTTGAAAAATGTATTTAATGAACATTGAAACCATTTTGTTGGCTGCTTCAATTTATATAGAGACTTAAAAGTCATGGGTTGGAGAGATGGCTCAGTGGCTAATAACATGTACTGCTCTTACGGAGGACCTGAGTTCAGCTCTCAATACCCATAATGAGCCATTATAACCACTTGTAACTCCAGTTCTAGGGGATCCCACACCCTCCTCCAGACTCCATGGCACCTGCACTCATTTGTGCACACATACATATACCAAACATACACACACAGAGAAAATTTAAAAATTACAATAAATCTTTTTTTAAAGTCTCTACAGCATTCATGAGTAAGCATTCATTAACTTAG